GCACCTCGCATTTTTACCCTCAGGCGAAGCCTCAAATTTCAACGGATGCCCTGGGGCCCTGCTGGGAAAAGTAGTAGTGGGCGTAAGTATAGGATTGCAAACAGGAGGAGTGGGTTCAGTCCTACAGAAAATGTCACTGACTCGATTCGGATGTCGGGAAAGGTATAATGTGTACCGAACGCTACTCACTCTAGATTGGTTTGATTTGAAATTGAACTTTGTTTTAGTTACCCAAGTTGTGCTATTCCCATGTCGTTGGATAATTCAGTAAAGCGATGAAACGTCAGTATTGCGACAATTTATCAAGTTACAGAGTTTAACGGTACTCTTTTGTTAAATCATCATTTATTGGACTGTACTTAGTGAAATTTTTACCATCGTCGAATCGAATATTTAAAATTGAATCATTCAAACAACAAAGTAAACCGTTGGCATAAATTCAAAAGAGAACCGGGCCAAGTGCAGATCCTTGTGGTACTCCTGAATTAACACCGTGACATGTTGAAGTAGTATCATTATGGGTGACATATTGCTGCCTATTACTGAGGTATGGTTGTATAAAACTAATAGTGTGAACCGTGAAACCACAATAAGAAAACGTAGAGAAAAACGCTTTGGTAAAGTCAAGCAAATGAAAACAAAACATTCTTTTTGCTGACCTTTATTAAAACCAGCTTGTATATGGCTTAAATTTGTTGAAGATTGTTTCTAACGCCGTATATAATTTCTGTTTTTCCAAAATAAGTCTGCAATTTGAGGGATTGTGAATACTGTGAATTTGTTTTGTTATTTAGAACACGCCTAGGTTAATGTTTCGTCATCCAGGCGTAGAATATGCCGGTACGGCCCTGCCCTTAATTTCCCGAGTATCATTTATCTCGCCACACAAAAAAGGACGTACAGGACGTGCGGTAAAGGTAATTCTATTAAAAGGGGTGCGATAACCAACCGAAATATGTAGTACAACCCAATAACAAGTCCTCGGCTTTTTGCGGGCGCCTCTCCATATTCCCATTAATCTTTTTGTGGGAGAACTAGCCGGAAACTCGATAAAAAATGTATAGGCTTAATTTACTTTAACGGTGTTCTACACCATAACACGGGTACCTTTTCCAGGACCTCTTTCTTTGGCAATCTTCCTCGGCGTTACAAATTCCAGGGGGGAAAGTAATTACAATTTTTTATGGACGGTTGGCGCATGTAACACTCCCGTATTCCGACATAAATCTGGAAAATGAGTTTGGGAAGTTAAGGAAGTATATAAAGATGTCCCCAGGGCGTCGTTTGTCACATGAGATGGTTTTTAATTACTTTTAAACTGGCGGTAAGTCCAGGCGCTCGGTAGGTACCAGATAATAACTGTAAATTATTATTGGCCATATTTTTGTAGTAATTTCGAGGAAAAGTTCGAGGATTTACATTTACAATTTACGAGCGGGTCGTATCCGAATGAAAATTCTCAAAAAAAATATGTCGACTAAATTATTTGCTCATTTTTCCGCGCTGTTTTTTTAACTGACAACGGATTGTGTACATTTGAATGTTTTCTCAAGGTACGTACCATCCTCTTTTCGATCACACTTTACAATGGTGAGAAATAACGTCTTTTTCCTTCAAGGATAATCCGTTATCCCATTGACTTCCGACGACAAGCGCAGGATCTACCACGTTATCCTTAATTCTTTAGGGATTTAACACCGGACGGCTGGGAGTATCGCGCTGATAGATCACTTTCGGAATTTGAACTGAAACAGATTTATATCCCCAATGACATTATTAACTGATCTTGCAGACGTAAACGTATCTAATAAGGTCGATACAGCGTGAATTTTTGCAGTATTCAAATATCTTTATCCTAGAACTCTTATTTTTGTTATTTTTTACGACGTTTTTTAAATTTCCCGCCAAATTAGTCATCACATAACCTCAAAAGCAATTATTCTTGAGCTGTTAAGGTATCTGTATTAAAAATACTAGTTTTTTTTACTTAAAGAAACTATTCCTACTCAAATACCATTAAACCCAAAGCAGCAAAATTTAATTAAAGCCCGTTCGTGTAACATTTATCTTGCTTGGCGTTTCTACGGAATACCGGCCTCACTTCGCAAAGACAACATTAAACTAATTGGAATTCAGTATCTAGCGAAACTTTCTTATTTGGTTTCGCGTAAATACAACAGTTATCTAACTAGCTCGTTCATATTTCCCATTATTCCGGCTGGAGTTCGTAAAATAATATCCTTGAAAACGATTCCCGATTGTGACTCGCGTCGCGCGAAGTATAAGGAACCCTATATTGCCGACGTCGAATAGTAAATTCCACAAAGAGTCGCTGCATTCCGATAGAGCCTTCTCACCTTGAATGCCGCCATTGTCTCGCTGCTAAATATCTTAATTAAAATCAAGTTGGCGCGGGAATGCCTCTGTAGCGCTGAGGACGAACAGGTGTTGCTAGCAGGTATATTAACTGGGACTATACAGCCATTTCCAGGTCAAGTGTATACTAATATTCATATACAGAATTCTCTGTTTAAACGTATACAAGGTGTAAGAGGTATGACTGCCATAGCTTCAACGTGAGATAGAGTAATTATATGTGAACAAAAATTTGCAGGTTTTTGTCTAGTTGGAAATGTTACTTTGTATCGTCTTAAATTGTTTCTGATAAATGCTTGTTGGGACACAGAATTTGTTCAGATGTTTGAAAGTTATCTTGTTTTATTTCCCAATAAATAAACATTGATTAAATGAAACAGACACATTTAACGTACATAAACTAAATATGCCTGTAAAATGACTCATGAAAAAAAATTAATGAATCGACAAACAAGGATAACGTTCCCTTAAAGAACATAATTACAGCTTTTACAGACCTGCCTATCGCCATCAGAGTTCTGATTATTGCCATCATTAATTTCTCCATTCCGAAGGTTTTTAAGCTCACAAAAAGACCCTTTCATGTAAAATCCCGTTTGATATATAGAGCTATTTGTACGTATCATAAAGGAGCTATTACCTTAAAAGTATTTCTTTTTTATAGCCTGACCCATATCTCAATACCTTTTATGCCTCCATTGAATTTATAGCCAGTGTATTCCAGTCAGAAAACCGGGGCCACGCTTTGTCAGCCGGTTTTTTCACGTAAAATTAATATATCTTCCGAACAACAATTTTTTTCGGTCATCAAGCTGTTAATGTCTATGTTTAAAAAAGATATTGACTGGCATCACTCAATCATCATTTCGTACGGTTCTTGAATTCTTCAATGATGTTAAGATTGATGTTCACAATTAAACAAAGCATTTACCTTAATTTTTCTCTTATTTATAAACTGTCTCTCGCCATATCCCTGGAATGACCAGGACCTCGCGAGGATGCCACAAATTTAAACGGACAACCGATTATCCCTCTTGCTCTTTGAGGCATCCGAGTGCTAGCGTTTGTTCGTCGACGGGTGAACAACCCGCAATGGTCTCCCTGCATTGGTAAAGTTTAATGAAAACGTTACGGAACGGTTAATCTTTGTTAATCTCTGGCATCGTTGTTTATTTTAGACTAAAACATAAATAAGACATATTTGTTTTATCCTTTTTTTCATCGCGTTTCATGAGGGCCCTTCTTTCCGCGATTCACAGTGCGTTGAACTCGAATCTGCAGCCACTTGAAGTGTCTAATATTGCGCAAGTAGAGTCTGGTTCTCGGATGGAAAGAGCCACCATCGCAAGCATCCGGCACTCCGGCTAAAAGCCTCCGAATGTAAATCGATCCTTAGAGTTGCAATGGACCGTGTTTTTAAGCTGGAAACTATCCGGATGAGTTTAAGCGTGTGAGGCGGCGGAATGCCAGCTGGTCTCGGTCGGAGAAGACTTTTTATTGTCATCTAATCTACATTCAGAAGGTTTTAAAATACCCTAATAGACCAAGGCGGATCTGTTTTGAGGTGGATGTGAGAGGGGGCAAGCAAATTTTTTCTGGATTACCTTCAGTACAACTCACATAATAAAAGTGTAGATCCCTAAATCTGGGCGAGGTCCGGAACAAGTGGGATATTTCCACAGATCCGTCCTGGTCTATGTATAAGGGTGTTCAGGAGTATTCTAAGGTGGGGAATAATCGCACATTTACTGTGTTGGTTGGGGATTTCGATACCAAGAAAATCTGAAAGCACCAACGCACCTTTTTATCTGGATCGTGGGCTTTTTATACCAGGTGTTTCAGTTGTATTGTTCCAATAGCATATCTCCATTACTTAAAAAACCATGAAATTTAAATTTCAGGCATCTGATATTCACCTAAACTTCTTTTCGACTCTCGTAAATCCATTTTGGTGGTTGTTGTTTGAAGTGGAAATACAGGACACCGCAACTAGATAAACGAAGCCTGTTAATATCCGTGGATGCATTATTACTGGAGGATATAATGAACGGGGAGTACAAAGCTCGTAATAATCGGAATTAATAACTGAAATCAATGCGTTACACAGACTATTTGGTTAGCGTTATTGTAAACACAATGTAACGTAGCCTGTGTGCATACATATTCTGTGATCTATCAAAACCAAACACGAATACCCAGGGAAATTATACACTATGGTGGTAAAAATAATTTCAGGACGGGATCAAGTTGAAAACCGATCCGATTTCTCCATTTTTAGCCCAGTTCGCGTCAGACAAGAAAATACTTTGCCGCAGAATAAATCATTACGCTCTAAAACCGGCTTAGTGTCTAATTAATAATGCGGAAGAAACAACTTGGGGGGAGGCTTCGCAGGGTTTTGATTTTGCAGCTAAATCCGATTTGTAGAATAAACGACTGGGATAAAGGGAAGCAAAACTGTTGGGGGATCGCAGATAGGTTCTACATTAATGATAATTAATTCTATTTCCCAAATCTTTTAGAACAAACCGTGAAATTTTAAGTGCCTTAAATGCTAATTTAGGGTGGTTCTTGAACAGATTAATCGATATTTTCCACGGTATTTCCTTAACATTTCCGAACAGACTGGGCCAGCCTGGCGTCGACGTCCACGTACGACACGACATGGAGGGCCCCCCTGGGTCGGCAGCGGTCCTCCACCTCCAGTTCCTCGTCAACGAGGGGGCGCTCATCTCAGCCACGGCAGACGATACCCTTCACCTGTGGAACTTCCGACAGAAGATCCCGCAGATCGTGCAAAGTCTCAAATTCCAGAAAGAAAAGTGTGTATCGAGACACGTTACTTTAGCACGTTTTTTAACTGCAATTGTTTCAGAATCACCTACATGCATCTTCCATTGCAGTCGAAGTGGTTGTACGTGGGTACAGAGAGGGGAAACGTCCATGTAGTCCAGATAGAAAACTTCAACCTTTCCGGCTATATTATTAACTGGAACAAGGCTATAGAAGTGTATGTACACTGATAATCCTATACTCCATTGACAAAAGAGGCGTTTGTAATAACAACTTATCGGAACACTATGCAAAATGAACGGCACAATACATTTTTATCTTACGAGGCAACTTTGGCAATGGAATAGAAGCACTTGTTGTTTATTTGAATCACCAGTTCTCATTTTTCATTTTAGGTCGAGGAAGACGCACCCAGGAGCAATAGTACACTTAAGCGACAACCCGTTAGATGCCAGTAAAGTGAGTAGACTTTTTCTAATTCCCACTGCACGTCTGACCTTTCCACATTTCCAGCTATTAATAGGGTTCGAAATCGGACTGGTGGCGCTGTGGGACCTGAGGAACAAGATGGTAGACATGAGGTGGCTGACTAATGAATTAAGGTCCATAGCTTGGCACCACGAAGGAAAGCAGTTTATGTGTTCCCACACGGATGGCACTTTAACCACTTGGAGCTTGAAGTCGCCCTCCAAGTACATCCATATATCGCAACCTCATGGTATGAGCATAAAATATTAGTTCTTTCTTTAGTGTTTGATTTTTTCAGCTAAATTAACCAAAGAGGGAAAACCGGAGCAATGCAAACCAATCACTAAAGTGGAGTGGAAGTATTCCAGAACTGGGTAAGTGCTAGTTTAGTAACAGGAGTCGTAAATTCAAATCTTATGGCTTGCAGGGAAGCCTATGTGATATTCTCGGGGGGTATGCCGTATGACCAAGCCAGCAGAACGCCCTGTATAACAGTTGTATATAGCAAAACGACGACCGTGCTGGAGATGGAGCACAACGTTGTAGATTTTATCACCCTTTGTGAATCTCCTTATACCAGCGGTGGGTGTTTATTCAATTGAATGGATTTTATCGATTTTGAAGTTTATTTGTAATATTTTTTGTAGAATTACAAGAACCGTATGCAATAATAGCCCTCCTACAGAACGACCTGGTTGTGATGGATCTCCAGACAGCAGGGTTTCCCTGTCTAGAGAACCCGTACCCCATGGACATCCACGAGTCCCCGGTGACATGCTGCAGTTACCTGGCGGACTGTCCAGCCGATCTCATTCCCGCCTTTTACTCCGTAGGCAGGGCAGGGGCCATGAAGAGGACGGGATTCTCCGAAATGTCGTGGCCGATCAGCGGCGGAACTTGGCCGGCGCAAGCCTGTACCTACGCGGAAGTAATTATGACGGGGTAAGTATACGGAAGTTACTAATTAGGGATTTCCTACGGATTGTTTTAGGCATGCCGACGGTAGTATAAAATTCTGGGATGCGAGTGCCGGTACTCTGCAGGTGCTTTACAAACTCAAGACGGCCAAGGTGTTCGAGAAACCGAAGTCTAGGTCTTTGGATTCCGAGGATGACCCCTTCGCCATTGAGATAATCTCATTGTGTCCGGAGTCTAGGAAGTTGTGCGTTGCGGGTGCTTCTAGTCACGTCATTTTGTTCACTTACAGAAAAACCGAGACTAACGACGAGATAACCGTTTTGGAAGTTCCTATAATCTATGAGGTACCGGATGAGGGGGAGATGTCTCCCGATTGCCAATTCTCGGGGCCCGGTAGTGCCGGATCTGGTAGCAAACTGGATATGCTGGATTTCGACAATAAGAGGGTAAGACTATACAATGTCAGTACCTTTTAATCCACATGGACATAGTTCAGAAATTTGTTGTCATGTTCCACTTAAAATTTCCTTTTGTGGTAAAACGATGGATAACGCACACAAACACAATGATCTTCCAGGATGGACCTACGCTGAAGGTTCGGAGCGGAAACCAGAAGAAACCACCCGGTTTCCAAGCCCAACTGGTCTGTTTAACCCCCTGGAATAACGGGGAACCACCTAGTCATATTACCGCATTAACTATTAACAGTTCGTACGGACTGTAAGTATTTTTTTAAGCTCTCAAACCGAACAAAACGAGTGTTATTTCAACAGCATGGCTTACGGTAACGAAGCGGGTATTGTGATAATAGATATAGAGCAGAGGGTTTGTCTCTTGAACGTAGGAAGCCCGGACCTTTACGGCGCCCAGGATCCTTATTCGCGGGTTCCCAGGAGTCCCAAGAAGGGCCAGACGCTGACGGACACGCTACCCATCAACATGGACCGCGAAGAGCGACAACCCCGCAGCCCCAGCATAGACCAGGTTAGTGCCAGATTTTTGCGATGTCAGTATCACGTTCTATGGGCATGATAGCGATAAGTCTTGACGAAATTTTCAGTTTTTTCACATTTTTGTTTACCATACGCGTCATGGCGTCATTTAGGAAGTTGAGCTCTTGAGATGTGACGATCGCAATGAGGATGTTGCGGGAAAGGATTCAAGTTAAATTCGTTTTATTTAAAAATTCAATTTTGCAGTTGAATTCTTCAGTCATTCTTACTGTTCGGAAATTTATATTTATTTCTTCAAATATTGAATGAAATTAAGGATAACAGCCTGTCCCGCAACAAGAATTGTGCCGCTACCAACGAATAATGCCCCCTCCAAGGCTAACAATCAAAATTGCACTGCAAGTGACTAAGATTACCCCGATTCTTTTTTTTGCTAATTTAAATGAGTTGTACGACTCGTCGCTTCCCTATACCCAAATTTCTGCATGATTTAGATGGGAAGGTCCCCCGAAAGCCCATTTTCCTTTGCCCCTTGCCCCACACCTGTAGAACAGGCCTACGAAGCGATGGAAGAGGAGAAAGCCGTGCCTATACCCCAAAACCGCAGGAAATCATCCACGTGGAAAGCTTTCAATTTAAAACGGCAACTTTCCAAAGTAGATATAAAGATTAAGAATCCTCTGAAGGAGAAAAGGAACAGTATATTCTACTCGGACGCTTCTCCTGGGCAAGAGTCGAACGATAACGCCGAAGAAGTGGAAAAGTCCTCCCCAGAATCGGACGAGAATACCGTTATAGACAATCAGAGTGTTATAGACTTGTCGGTGATTTCACCAAAGAGTGCAGACGAGGACCAACTTAAAAAACCCGGGGAAGATTTTGAACCGGTACAATTTTCTCCGGAAGAAGAACCAGAGGTGCCGTTTCTAGTGGGTTCCCTGGGCACCCAGTTCGAGTACCCGGGTTGTAGACGGGTCGGTTTCGCCGCGAGGCCCGACAACTTAGATCTAGTCGACGAGGACGGGGTTCCCGTCAGGCCGCCGAGGCACAAAAAAAAACAGGAAAAGAGAGACCAAAGACTGTTGTCTGTGCCCAATATAAAGTTTCAGAAGCCCGAGCTGCAGAGTTACAGGGACCTGCGGGAGAAAGAGGACACTGTAGTGAGTCCGCAGCCGAGTTTTACGGGGAATCTGATGAGGCGTTTCAGTAAGTTTTAACTTTAACCTACACCACCTTGAGTTCCCCTTGTCCTTGGTACTGATATTGTTTCGGAACAGTCAGATGTTAAGTGAATGAAAAATCAAATGAACCAAATTAAATTAAGGAGTATCGTACGATCATAAAAACATTTGACTGTTCCATTTCGGAAGATTTTTACAGTTTTTAGAAGTGCCTGCGTAAAATGATTGGATTTTTATAATTACTTAAATAATAGCCAAGGAATGTTGTGAGAGTTAGATTTTCTGTAGTGTAGCGTCCTTAACTGGAATAGGATTTAACTTTTAGCGGAGTTTTCTAATCTACTACGCCGCACACCACAGTTTCACCCAAATTTTTATTAACTGAGTTGTGTTTTCCGTTTTTGTTTCTGTAACCGCTTATGTGCCCAGTTGCTTTTTTCGTTATATTGTTACCCCGGTACACGTAATGTAACTTACGCCAAACGTGTCCCATTTTGGAATTTCTATTGTGTAATTAAGGGAAAAGCATTAGTAATACAAAAATTCAAGTTATCAAATGGCCCAATTTGGAAGACCCAAGATCTTTGATAACTAGACTAATCGTTTATATTTGAAGACGTTTTTTATGGGATGTTGATAAGTTCTCGCTGTTTTTTCGTGAAAATTTATGCTTCATTTACAAAAAATTATTAAAAAACGTGTCACTGAAACTGTCGGCAACATAACTTTCTGCAATTGTGGCTGATTTCCACCCACTATGTCTCTTGATGGCTATCATCAACATCAACTCCTGTATTAGCTAGTAATGTTGCCTATGTTCTTCGGAATGAATGGCCTGTATATGTTTCAGGATGTTCTAGTTTCAAAAACTGCAATCTTATTAGGAATCATAGAAAGGGTATTCATTTCGACTGGTTCGTTGTAACATCTACTTGCTTGATAGCGCATAAAAAAGCGTGAAATTTCAGTTTTAATTTAGTTTAGTTTTGAAAAACAGAACATAGACGAGAAGTAATTGTAAACGTACGTGACATACCATTTTTAGAATCTGGTATTGTATCTACAATAATGTAATAGAAATTTTTGAAATTGACGTCCAAAGTAAGTTTGCATAGCTCATCAGAACGGCATACTCCTGCAATGCCTAAGACCGTCACTACCTTCATTTCATGAACCATATAGAACTGTGGGAGCAGATGAAATGTTATACACCACGCAGCAGTTAAGTATAATTTACCAGTCTCGGACGCTATTGCCAGCCCTCGCTCCGCTCGGGCGCAAAATCGTATTCGACTGGTCAATAATACTTACCTCCTTTATGGTGTAAATAACTATTGTATTTCGGCGAAATAACATACACTGAACTACCAGCTTGCAGTTCTGGCAACGCCATCTGTTGGAAAACAGCGAGAACTTATTCGACGTTTTATTACTCTGTTTCGTTTGTTTTGTTGTAAGTAACGAATATAACGGTTTTCCATTCTCATACGTTGTTATTGTCGTGTATTATTGGTGCTTTTCCCTTGACCGATCATAATTTTACTAACGCTTTCTTCCAGCGGGCAATGGGTTTTTGACTTTCTCGGTGGCTTTGGCACATATTTAAGGGCGAGGTCAGCAGTCTCAGTTGTGTAGCACTCCTAACGAGGCGATTTTGGGGTAGGAAGCCACGTAATATATCGTAGGACCTGCCCTAGCGCCATAGACTTAGGCTTTTTAGACAGCAACTGCATTTATAAATACATAGAGCTGCTGCTTGTACTCGTCCTAGTCCTCACTCATCGCCTCATCGTTTTTAATGTATACTTTTTAAGTTTCTGTTGTGTCGCCGGGACGCTAACGACAGCGGCGGTGTATACATCGGAGCAACGTTCACCGTTACGTTGTCCGAATTGTCTAATCGTAAAATATAAACATCTGGCCTTGGCGTTGGCGTTCCCGGCCTGTCCATTGTCCTATAACGTGCTGGTGTATAAGTGGTGCTGGTCCTTGGGTAGATAAACGGAGTGTGCAGCCCAGCGTCAGCCTGTCCCGCCGCCACTGGTCGAGTACGTCCGGATCCGCCACGAAGGTCACGATCCCAAGGTACTCGCAAACTCCACAAGTGCCTGTCGACGGCTAGCTACTCCGAGGAGGCCTGCCACGCTTTTGGCCCCTCGCCGGTGCCCCCCACTGCCGCCCAGCGACAACAGCTGATGGTCGCTCGCCAATATTGCAGTTTTGGTAGTACACAGTCACCGCGACACGTTTATATGATGATATTTATATGAATTAGACGATCGCCACACACCACACACACACACCACCTTTCCGAACCTTCGCAAGCCCCAGTTCGCGTGAACTGACCACGGAACAAAATTCGGGCTCATTCCCCGTTTGAGAATTATTTCCATTTTGACAGATTGTATGACAGGTGTCAAATAAACTTGTGCGTCTGGATGGTACTAATAGCTCTTCATTTGTGACTAATCCAATAACAAAAATTCACGCATAACGATTCGATACGATTTTTAAGAATTACAGGCAAAAATTTTTCATTTTTAGGAGCTATAAGAGTCCCTAAATGTCTTACTTTTATTTGCCTGCGTGTCCGAGGTAAGTCGTTTCTTTTATTTATTTAATTTTCATTTCATTTGTTCACATGCAGCATGTCCGAATATCGCAGTACGGGATGCGTTTGCTTACAAAGCCGGAATAACGCTCTAAAATTTTTTAAAAGTACTGGTTAGAACGGCAATAGAGAGAAAAATACAATTGTTCCTGTAGAATTTAAAAAAAAATCTAAAGATGACCAATAGCCTTAGGGCATATTCAAAAGTGTAGACTCTGTAGAGAGAAAGGGCGATAGTTTGGGTTCTATCTCTCCCTCCTCCCCCCTTCTCCTCTCTCCCTACCCTCTCTCTCTAATCGTTGAGAAAAAGTGGGGAGATCCCGCCTTCGCCCAAGCGTTAGAAGAGAGAGAAATATGTTACCGCCTCTCTCTCTGTCACTAGTCTACTGTCGCCAGTCTACTGTCGCCGTTAAGCTTCAAGTATAATGTCTTTTAGTAAATCTTTGATTCGGATAATATCGTCACTAGTCAGTTTGCGGGGCTGGGGCTTTGCCTTTTACTTTTTATCTTCATTCTTACATTTATTTTCCTTGTTTCTCATTAGATTCATTGTTATCACATCAAGGAAATATTAAAGTTGAACTTTTCCCAAGGCCTAAATATATTTTTGAGAAGAATGAGACAGGTACACGAAATAGGATCATTTTTGTATTCAAAGTTGTATCTCTTAGCTATCTTTTCACGTGTATATCATGGGATATTTTGCTATATATTTTTTTTAACTAGTGTTAGTAGAAGTCCCTATCCCAAGTACTAAAAAGTATTTTGTAGGTAAATTTTTAGCCCAGTATATTTAGGTATATGAGATTTCTATAGAAAAAATATCTCGGTAGTTGCAATTTATTTCATTCCTTCTGTGCGGTGTGCTGTACAGGGTTAGTCACTATAATCTGGTAACTTATTGTGAGTTTATCATTGAAATTACAAAAAAGTTTTTAATACAAAAGTTTTAGCTTTTTTATGAATTTTTATAAAACAGTATTAGAAAAAAACAGTTGAATGATTCATTTGCCCGGGTATGAGTATTTTTTCTATTATAAATGCCAGCTGTTGTAAAAGTCGCCTCATCAGTCCATAAAATCTTTTCAAAATAGTTTAGGTCGCCACTTTAAAAATACTGTATTATAAAAATTTATAAAAAAAGGCTAAAACTTTTTTGTAACTTCAATCATAAACTCACAATAAGTTGTCAGATTATAGTGACTAACCCAGTACATAACTTTGATGAAATCTCATATTTAAGTCACTTTTCATCTTTCTAATGGTTTACTGTTAGGACTGTCTTCTAAATTTCCTCTCTTCACTATAACTTCTTCTAAATTTCTCTAAATTATATAAGTACATTTTATTCCGAAGATATTAAAACTGTACTGAACCAAATTTTAATATCTTCAACAAATCACTAGTATTGTCATTTTTGTAGTAGGATATAGTGGTTATCTCTTCCATTTTTTTTAATTTGTAACATAGTAAAGCAATAGCAGTATCAACTTTAAATCATAAAAAATTTATGCATTTTCATAGGTAAAAAGTTTGTTGTAGATATTTGAGTAATCACACTGTAGATCTATATTTGTTACGTCCACATCACTTGTAGATTTCCAGTTCAAAGGGGAATTTAAAAAATTGAAGAACTCTTAGAAGCACGGGTGTAAATTGAACATTGTTGTTCACCGCCATCTTGATGTTCCAGCGCCATCTATTTTTCCCGCGACAGAGACAATTTCTTTTTCCAATTTTTTAAACTCCCAGTACTTCTAAATTTGTGTTTTTGCCGAGAACACCTGTAACTGTTATCACATTATTTCCCGATTTTTTTTTCAGCATGTCATTAAAAGGTGACTTGTACTTCCAAACCTGTATCTGAACTATTCAAATTTAAAGACAGTCTATGCAAATCTGTGTTCCTAACTGTGCCTCTTTCTAAACTTATCTGTAAAGTGTTCTTTCTCGATGTTGAGTGTGCTGCATTAATTTTTTTTTTAAGATAACGACAAAGATTCCGGTTCAGTTCAGACCACAGATTAAATGGTTCCGAAAAGATTTTTAATATATTTGTTACTGTTTTTCATTTATGTTCTTGACAAAATTAGTTACGCTTCTGCATGGAAATGTCGAACACCTTACTCTGGGTTAACTTTTCTTTTCTCCTCAGTTGTTCTTTTCTATATCTTCCGTCCAACAAAATAAACCCGAGCCGCTTCTTCCAAACCTACTGGCATATTTTTATTAGTAAACGTTTGATTTTTTTACATTTGCAAAAATGGCGCCCCTCGTGGGGCATTTTTTATATAATGTCATTCTTTGTTCCTGGATATAATAAAAATATGCCACTAAGGATTTTTTAAGCATGTAATCCTAGTGTTTTGTCGTTAGGAATGCAACTAACAGCATGTATTCGTGTTTTGTGTTTATGTTATGAAGACTGGTATTACTTGGAAGGTAAATCTGGGAATCTTTTTGTTTCATAACGGTCACGTAAATAGAGCAAATGTTTGCAGCTTTTGAAAGTCTTGTGAAAAAGAAAGATTTCCACTGGATTATACTTTAATATTACTGCTATTGCTATATTTTCTGCATGTTTTTATTTTATGAGTACTTTGTGTATCACGAAACGTTGCCGTTTTGTGGTACTAGAAGTCGATTTAAACTCTGAGCTTTGCGCTTCTAATATGGCTTTATAATTTTTAAATTAAAAGAACGATAATTCCCACTACAAATTGTTGTAATCATTGTATTGTAAATATCCTTAAAAAATGTTTACAACAATTTCATTAAACTGTTATGATTTTAAATCCTTTAACTTTTAATTTTAACTTTTACAATTAAATTATGTTATTTTAAAAAAACACCGTTTGCCTAATATATTTTATAAAGTATGTTCACGAAAATGCACAAAATACGCCGGATCATTGAGGCGCATTTTGGCAACTTCCGTTGGACATTAAATCAAAGAATTTACCGCTTCCTGCGTGCGCATGTCGTATGATCTTGTGTACTAGATTCTTTTCGAATTAATTCGAACTGAATAACTAAGAAACTTTTCTTTTTATGGGCCGGGTAGACAAACTGGACAGCTCCTTCTCGAGGTCCAGGTCGTCTTCGATGAGCTCCCTCGAAAACATTACCTCGGAATCTATTCAGTGCTTGGTTTTCGCCGATTCGTACACGAGGAAATCAGGTTTGTGGAAAGATGCAGAACCATTGCCACCTAGATTATAAAGCCTCGAAGCTCTCCGCAATACGTCACTCGATGGCGAAATCGTCCATTTTTACTACTTAAGAAATTAATTCTGACTGTCATTAACGATTCAAGGCTAAACCACTGGTAATGATGTCACTAGGCGATGACTCATGAGATGTGAGGCCTTTGTATTGTAGGTGGTAATTGCTAACACTGAAACTCACAGCTTTTTCACTGGATCTGTGTATTTTTCCAGAACCGACCACGTTAACACCTACCCTATGGGTAGGAACGAGTCTAGGATCCGTCTTAACGATTCTAATAACGCCCCCGGATCCCGACAGTCGATCTTCCCAACCGGTGGTGGTCTCTTTGGTTGGAGCCACGATTTTTAGGTTAAAAGGATCAATTTTATCGATATCCTTCCTGGATTGCAACGGTTCTCTAATACCTTACTCGTTCGAGTCCTGGAGAGACGACAACAGAGAGAAGAGGGACAGTGAGTGGTGCGAAATTTTGTTCGTAACGTGTCACTATTAATTTTTTTTAAAGGAACTCCGACGAGGAACCAGAATAGGATGAGCCCGACTCTAGGCGGCGAGAACTTAAGCAGGGGCGATAATTTTTCCGACAGGCAGTTCGTGGTGATAGCCAGCGAGAAGCAGGCGAGAGTGGTGGCGCTGCCCTCTCAGACGTGCGTGTATAGGCAGCAGTTGGCCGACGGCGACTTTGTCGTTAAAGCTGAAGTTATTTCTCTTAAAGGTAAGTTGAGGGAGTTGTTGCGATCGGATAGACGGTGGTTTTTGCTTTCAGATAGCGTATGTTTAGTTTGTTACTTGTCGAACGGTCACTTGGCTGCGTACAGCTTGCCCAGCCTGAGGCAGCTGCTGGACATCGACTTCCTGCCGCTGTCCGAGCTCAGGTGAGACCCCCCCACGTTGATAAAATCCGACAGAGGTTATGAATCTTGAAATTAAAACTACACGATTTTAGCTAACGCAGCACCTTTGTTACTAGCATTGATTCTCTCCACTTTTTACTGCTACGAGACTTGTGCATGTCCATTTTGTTGTATAGATACGATGAAGTGTGTATAGTTTTTACTTTGAGAAATCTACACAACAAATAAACGCGCTTATTTGAACAAGCGGGCGCCTTTTTCAAGTAAGCGTTACATTGTGTGAGCACAACCTCGCCAACTAACCTAGCGTCACATTATCTAACTTGGAACCTTCTAACTACCTAGTCGCTTCTAATCTACCTATGTTACCCTGCCAGTTTTCAGACACAGTCTAAGAAAGGCATTGTAGACCCAATGTTATCCATTTGGGGGCAACAGCTCATTGTTAACGAGGATACGGACCAGTAAGTTCACCATTTGGTCATTTAATTCACTTAAAGTAATTATTAGCCATTGCTTTTTCTGTAAGTTGTTTTGGGTTGATTATTTTGGGGGGACGGGGATGTCGCGGGGCAGCAAAAACTTACAGAGTCGAAACGTTGAGTTAAATGTAAAAAAAATAAACGAATTTTTCTATAACTTAAGAAAAGTTGCGAAAACGTAATCAGAAAAATTTCAATAAGTATACCGTTTTCTTCTATTCCTGCATTTTATTATAAGCACAGTTTCCAGATAAATTTCTGTTGCTATCGCCATTTTGAAAAATAAAACTTGTTTTAAACTCGTGTGAAAATTGTACGGTGTGCTCGTCAGTGGGCTCAATTCGGTTCTGCCTAAGTGTGATGTCACCTGAGACTTGCTCAAACGTCGAATTTGTAATAAACTCGGCAAAAAAATTTAAGGAGCAGAAAAATGTTCTAATTTTTTTAGTGATTTTTGAAAGGCTGTAATTTCGTGAATGATGATCGTATCAAACAAAAAGAAGCATCTTGAACCTTGAAGATTCAAGTTTTGAAATCTTGATGAAAAAATTTTTTAAGCAATCTAAAGAAATAATGCAAGGCAAAAATTTTACAACCGTTTTTTTCAAAACTGCCTATGGGCTCAAAAAAAATTTTCAGGGTCACAGACTAATTCCTCAGCTTCAATTTATTTTTTTTTTGCTGTTTTGGAAAATCAACGACTACTTAGTGAATATTGCGAAAAATACCGATGTTTGTAGGTTTTTTTCTAGCTCAATACATGTCCATGAGGCCTGTAAATTTTGAAATCGATCGGTCGAACTGTTTTCCTTTCCAGAATCGTCAGTTTCATAAAACATTAAAGGATCAGGTTTAAGGCTCCTTATCTTATAGTAGAAAAAAAATATTGCGTCATTTTTCTCACAATTCCGCGTTAAATATTCTTGAAATATCGAAAAAAAATTCAAAATTTTGGAAGAAAAATTCAATTTAAAAAAAAAAATTTTCAAATTTTTTTTACGTTCTTTTTCAATTTTATTAATGATTAAGATGGAAAAAATTTTTAGCGTCATTTTCCTCTCAATTTCGCGTTAAATACTCTTGAAATATCGAAAAAAAAAAATTCAAAATTTTTAAAGAAAACCAATTTTGAAAAAAATCAAAATTTTCAAGTTTCCAATTTTTTGCGTTTTCTTTTTCTTCAATTAATAATTAAGATAAACAAACAATTTTGCGTCATTTTGTTCACAATTTCGCGTTAAATACTCTCGAAATCTCGAAAAAAAAAATTCAGTTTTGAAAGAAAAATTCAATTTTGAAAAATAAACAAATTTTTCAAAATTTTTTTATCTTTTTTCCAATTTTATTAATGATTAGGTAAGATGAAAAAAATTTTTTGCGTAATTTTTTCACAATTTCGCGTTAAAAACTTGAAATATCGAAAAAAAATTCAAAATTTTTCAATTTTCTATCTTATCGTTATCTTTTTTCAATTTTATTAATGATTAAGATAAAACAAATGTGTGCGTCATTTTTCTCGCAGTTTCGCGTTAAATACTCTTTAAATATCAAAAAAATATTCAAAATTTTAACAGAAATATACAGTTTTGTAAATAAAATCAAAATTTTTCAATTTTTTTGCTTTCTTTTTTTCAATTTTATTAATGATTAAGAAAAAAAAATGTTTGCCTCATTTTTCTCAGTTTCGCGTTAAATACTCGTGAAATGTCGAAAAAAAATTCAAAGTTTTGAAAGAAAAATTCAAATTTGAAAATAAATCAAATTTTTCAAAATTTTCCAATTTTTTTTTAATTTTATTAATAATGAAGATAAAAAAAAATGCGTAATTTTTCTCACAATTTCGCTTAAATACTCTTGAAATATCGTAAAAAAAATCAAAATTTTGATAGAAAAATTAAGTTTTGAAAAAAAAATCAAATTTTTCAGAATTTTCCTATTTTTTTGCGTTTTTTTTCAATTTTAGTAAGAAAAAAATTGTTTGCGTTTGCATTTTTGTTACAATTTCGTGTCAAATACTCTTAAATTACGTATCAAAATAAAAATTTCAAGATTTTGAAAGAAAAATCCAGTTTTGAAAAAAAAATCTAATTTTTCCAAATTTTTCAATTTTTTTGCGTTATGGTTTTTTCGCGTTAAATACTCTCGAAATATCGAAAAAAATTTAAAAATTTGAGACAAATTCAATTTTGAAAAAAAATCAAATTTTTCAAAATTTTTTCCTATTTTTCAATTTCATTACTGATTAAAATGAAAAAGAAATTCAAAATTTTGAAAGAAAAATTCAGTTTTGAAAAAAAAATTTGAGTCAATTTTCTCACAATTTCGCGTCAAATACACTTGAATTATCAAAAAAATTTTTATAATTTTGAAAAAATCTAATTCAAAATTGTAAAAAATTCAATTTTTTTAATGATTATGACGAAAAAAAATTTTTCGTCATTTTTCACACAATTTCGCGTTAAATACTCTTGAAATATCGAAAATAAATTCAAAATTTTTAAAGACAAATTTAATTTTGAAAAAAAAACAAATTCAATTTTTTTTGCATTATTTATTTTTCAATTTTATTAATGATTAAGATTTTGCGTTATTTTTCTTACAATTTCGCATGAAATACTCTTGAAAAAAATTCTAAATTCGAAAGAAAAATTCAATTTTGAAAAAAATCAAAATTTTCAAAATAATTTTGCGTTATCTGTATTTCAATTTCACATTAAATATTTCAAATGTCCATATGTCCAAATTAAAAAAAATATTGAAAATTCAAAATATTCAGAAAATTATACTGAATCACTTTCTGTTCAATTTTGATGCGATTTTTTTCTTCGCATTCCGTATTTCATCGAGTTAATATTAATTTAAGTCCATACCCCCAAGAGAATCTTCATGCATTGTTTTACACGCATCTATACGATTTATTGATCTGTTTTCGAAAGTTCGTAAGTCAGTCTGTAAAATTTTTTTGTAAAATACCAATTTTTTTGACATTTGATAAGTATTCAATGTGAAATTATGAAAAAAAATTAAGTAAAAAAATTTTGAAGAATTACTTAGATTTTTTTTTCAAAATTGATTTTATAGCCTTCCAAAAATTATTAAAAAAAATTTGGAAATTTTTCAGCTTTAATTTTCTCGTTTATATTGACACTTCGGTGTCTATATATTATATTATAAACAGGAAAATTATTAGAAAAATTAGAGAAAGTTGCATTTTCGTACCGTAGCGTAATAGCGTAGCTTATGAAACTAATGCTAAAAACTATTGATTTCCGTTGTTCATAATTCTCCTTTTTTTTCTATAAGAATAGGAGAAACCGGTATACGTTCATTTGCGGTCAATGACTATGAAAATAAAATCAAACGTAGAAATTTGTGAAAACGGTTCAAAATATGCCAAATTCCATACACTGTGTTATATTCAGATAACGTAACGAATTTTAATTTAAATTACATAGTTTGACTTTTCCGGTACACACCACACACAACAAAAATGCAGTATACTGATAAATGTGCAATCAAACAAAAGCCAGGTATCTATTCCAGAGACTATCTAAGCGAGGCACAGTTTAACACACTCTTCTCACTCCGGTGATTGCTTGGGGCACACATTTACTTGCACTGCATTTTGAAAAGGAGCATGTCAAGTTTCTCGAACTACTATCGTTTCATTTCTCTCGGCATAAAATAGTCTGCATGATACAGTTCTGCGAAAGTTAGTTTTTCACGGTGGAGACTAAAAGTGGGGTTATGATCAAAAGGAATTACACCACCAATAACATGCAGTAACCTCACTTTTAACTTAATCGGAATAGAATTTAGTGAATTTATGAACGTTTCACAAACTATACTTGACATAAAGCAAACTACAAACTACTTACTCGTGTATGGTAAGTTTTTACACGTTTCACCAACGAAATTACCAAAAACCAACCCGCACACAACCAGCTTAAAAGTTTACTTGTGAAAGTTCCCCTACCCGTAGTCCGTTACTTACTAATACCACTTACGAAACCGTTCCGTTGCAAAGTATTAACGCTTCGTTCTTTTAGGATCGCCAGAACTTTTAACTTTAGCAACCGAGGCCACGGCTTGTACCTGGCGTCGCCTTCCGAGTTACAGAAGTTCACGATATGCACAGAGTTTTGGTAAGAGCTCGTCTCAAACCCTCAGACGGACGTCACGTGCGTTATTTTTCCAGCTCGAACCTGACCGAGATGATGGGGGAGCTGTTCCTGCCCTTGGACATGCCGGAGCCGCCCAAGGAGGGCTTCTTCAAGGGCCTGTTCGGGGGAGGCGTTCGGTCTTTGGACAGAGAGGAATTATGTATGCAGTTTTTTGTCGCTGTTTCTTTAATTCGTAACGTTTTATTTTTCTTAGTTGGCGAATCGAGCGGGAAGGCCAGTAAAGCTGTCGCGAAGCACATCCCGGGGAACCTCTCGGATCTGGGCCAGAGAGCGAACACGGCGAGCAGCGAGGTGAACCGTGCCCACAGGCTGATGTTGGAGCGCGGCGACAAGCTGAACCAGCTGGAGGAGCGGTCGGAGAGGATGAGGAGCGAGGCGGAGAATTTCTCGTCCTCCGCGCACGACCTGATGCTCAAGTACAAGGATAAGAAATGGTACCAGTTGTGAAGCGCTTGGAACTTTTTATAACCCAAAAGAGTGTTGGTTTTTGTACAGTTTTTCAAGCTAGGGAGGTAGGATTTATAGTCAATAGACGAGTAATGCCGGCGCGACGCGGTTCAGTCACTTTTTTTTTAATTCTGCAATAATTTCCTTAATTTCCAAGTAACTTTTTCTAAAATTTTAAGAATTTCAAAAAAAATTTCACAAAGTTATAAATTTATTCAGCATTCACAATCGTGTAAAACGTAATTCTTCCCTCGACCTTAAAGTGAAATTTTGTTTTGTGAACTTACTTTTAAAAGAAAAGTGTCACTTTTTAAGTGTCATGTTATTTCACGTCCGCAGATACTTCACAGATTCAATTACTTCACATCCACCGGACAGAATAAATCTGTGGATGTGAAGTAATTGAGTACGTGAAAAAGTGCAATAGAATCTTAAGCAAATTTTTTTCCTACGATACATGAATTATTTTTCTCTAGTTCAAATCCTGCTAAATGGGTTAATTTTGATATTAAGTTTTTTGGAAATTTCACAAAGTTATAAATTTATTCAGCATTCACGATCGTGTAAAATATAATTCTTTCGTCGACCTTAACATGAGATTCCGTTTTACCAACTTATTTCCAAACGAAAAGTGTCACTTTTCAAGTGTCATGTTAGTTCACGTCCGCAGATACTTCACAGATTCAATTATTTCACATCCACCGGACAGAATTAGTCTGTGGATGTGAAGTAATTGAGTCCGTGAAAACGTGCAATAAAATATCAAATCGTAAGCAGTTTTTTTTCCTGCGGTAGGTACATGATTAATTTTTCTCTATTCAAATCCTGCGAAATAGGTTAATTTTGATATTAAGTGTTTTGGAAATTTCACAAAGTTATAAATTTATTTAGCATTCACAATCGTGTAAAATTTAATTATTCCGTCGACCTTAACATGAAATTATGTTTTGTGACCTTATTTCCAAACAAAAAGTGTCACTTTTCAAGTGCCATCTTATTTCACGTCCGCAGATACCTCACATATTCAATTACTTCACATCCACCGTACAGAATAAATCTGTGGATGTGAAGTAATTGAGTCCGTGAAAAAGTGCAATAAAATATCAAATCGTAAGCAGATTTTTTTCCTGCGGTACATGAATTATTTTTCTCTAGTTCAAATCCTGCGAAATAGGTTCATTTTGATTTTGGAAATTTCACAACGTTATTTTATTCAGCATTCACAATCGTGTGAAACATAATTCTTCCGTCGACCTTAACGTGAAATTCTGTTTTGTGAACTTATTTCCAAACGAAAAGTGTACATTTTTAAGTGTCATGTTATTTCACGTTCGCAGATACTTCACAGATTCAATTACTTCACATCCACCGGACAATATAAATCTGTGGATGTGAAGTAATTGAGTCCGTGAAAAAGTGCAATAAAATATCAAATTGTAAGCAGATTTTCTTCCTGCGGTACATGAATAATTTTTCTCTAGTTCAAATCCTGCAAAATAGGTTAATTTTGGGTCCGAAAGGCCTCGTAGTGACACAATTGTATTGAAACTGAAGTTATATTGGAAAGTTTTGGAAATTTTGAAACACAAAATGCTTCACAGTACAAAATTCTTTCAAAGTTCATAGAACAAAGGCTGAAGGTGAAAAATGTGATGATTTTGAAATTTTTTGTACATTTCTAATGCCTTTCGGAATGCGTTTGATATATTTTAATGTATTTCTGTACATCCTGTATATAATATACCGCCCCCTCCGTCACACAAGTCTCCAACTTTTGGGTTAATCACTGCTGTTAGATTGAGGGATAGAGGTTTTTATTGTACGTTATCACTACATCGGTTTATATATCGAGTACTGCGAGAGGCCCTAAGGTAGGGCCTCGAGGCGTTCCGAATGTCTTTTCCATTTCGTCACTGTGACTGAACAGCGAGCCGCTCCTCTAAGGAATTCTTAAACTTAATGCGAATTGTGATATTCTATTCTGCCTGTAAGGATAGATTAAAAAAAAGAAACTTTTCCTATGATTTAAAACTGCACATGGTTTTCGCACCCAAGAGAATGTACTAAAGAGTAGTATGTTTGTTATATTTAAGTAAAAAAAAATGTTACGGTAGATTTTAAAGTGGAACTCGTAGCGGGATTTTTACCTTTGCTACTATATATATTATTTTAGTAATATTTTAAATAATATAAAGTCTAAGTCATTTATTCTATTTCTAATGCCGTAGTTACTCCGACTATGCGCGAAGTGGTTATGTAGTTATCAAATTGTTTTGTACTTTTCTATATTACGCGCGGTGTCCCGGCGCGTGCGTTTCGCCTTTCCCGTCTGAAGGGCGAATCGCAGGGAGGCTCGTCGAGCACCTTACTTACGTTATTTTTACTAGTCACTAGTACCGGAACTGCGCTTCGATCAAATCGATGAGTTCGTACGAAACATCCAAAAAATATTCAATCGGTGCTAAATCTGGAGGTCCGGCGGGCCAAGCCAAAAAGTTCAGTCAAACTGGATTCCGAGGGCATTATTCGTTTCAAAGTTCCATTTTCAGTATGCCAACATTGTTACCAAGACCGAGTTTATATAATTGTTTAGTGTATTGGAAATTTTAAACGGTGCGAGCGGTTTTGGTGGACGATGACTCGGTTTTATGGTAAAATAGTGGTTTCTACTCTAATTTGGTCGTATTCGATGGCAATTAGAGCCGTTTTTCTGAGGTCGAGTCTGAAATTTCGTTTATTTTGGGCCATTCCGAAAGCTATTAACGAGATCTTGTTCGCTTTTGTACGATTTCTGATTACTGAGGTGTAAGCCACCAATTTGTCACGATTTGGTAATGTTCCAAGTGCTTTTTTTAAGCAAATAGGCAACAAGTAATACATTTTTGTAAATTTTATTACACAGTTTGTTTAAATGTGAATGAATGCACAAATAACAGACTTTCCTCCATTCTAACTCGGATTTTCTATAAAATGGAGTTGGTTTGAAACTCAAATTACTTTTTGGTGTCAAGAAATTTGTAATTTACGATGCAAATTACAAATATCTTTACAACAAAAAGTAATGTGAGTTTCAAACCAAGTCCATTTTATAGAAAATCGGTGTTAAAATGGGGGAAAGTCTGTTATTTGTGCGTTAATTCATATTTAGACAAACCGTGTAATAAAATCTGTAAAAATGTATTACTGGTTGCGTATTTGCTACGTCCTCGTCAGAGTATTTACCCAAAAGATTTTTAGAAAAAAGTTCAAATCACTTGTTGATAATGGTCGACATTTATAGAGGTACTGTTGCGAAAAAGTACTTGGCAATCCAGATTTATCGTCGATTTAAGAATATTTCATATATCCGCAGTCTCTCACTTTGTGGACGAACATAATTTTATTCGAATAAACCTGTAACGACTTAAAAACCAACTTAGACGGTATTTTTTACAAAGCTAAGGGTGCAAATTTCTACAGGACTCGCACGCCGCTCGTCGATTTGCGAAGCGTTCTTCCCGTACGGTTTTAAACGTTCTTCTCGCTTTTAGTTAAAATAAGGTGTAAATAATCCATTAGCGTCTTAGAAATGAGGTAGTCAATGTAAATATGTACTAAATTTGTTCTTTTTATCTGAAAAAAAAATGTTACAAGTATTTGGAAGACAATAAGGTATGTTTACAGTGGTAAATGGTTTCCATTGCCGAACAGCTTGCTTTTCTCCCGTTCCAAAATGTTTTTCTTTCGGGCTAAACCAAAAAGTTGCGTTAGCGTCTTGGTTTAGCTTTGCGGGCGGCGGGCGTTGCGGAATTACGCAGAATCGAAACCCAAGCATATCACGAAGCACTTTAGACCAACGTTCAGTACAAATTTGTTGATGAAAGAGAGTATTTACGAGACGTTAACGGAAGAAGAGCCCCCGACGCAGCACCCCGAGGTACCTAATACAAAAATTTTGCAGCGCTTCGCCGTCCGCCCCGCTTTTTGTGATGCGTTTGAGCGGCCGTGGAGTTTGCCGTGGTTCGTAGCCACGGCGAAGATCACGGCCCGACGGTTTTTAATTGTTTAACGTCTTCCCGTTTCTCGATTTAATATTTGCCAAATGTACCTATAATCACTTAAAAAAAAAAAATCAAAGATGTGAATATATGTTCGTAGACTTGTAGAATGGTCTCCGGGCCATAGACGTTCGGTTAGTGATTGGAATGTGACGTTTCCTCCGACAAAGCGATGATTTGGAACCGTAACATTCGGAAACAAAGATATATTTTCGTGTACGCTTTGTCGTCCCCCAATTAGTGGCGCGTTCAGGGAGCTAGTTACCGTTTAGAGCCTCCTCTGTGTTCCGAGCATCTGATTATGCTTCCAACTCATTCGACACGTTGAGATCGCGCAAGGCCCATTGTTGATTATTTTATATATTTTATTTGTTGCGAGGTTTGATCGAACCGGGAGTGGGAACAATCCTCGTAATTTGAAAGTATATTGTTGTACAGAGCGGAAAGAAAAGTCGCTTCTTTAACGGGATCGCGTCGGCCGTATCGAGGAAGAACCGACTTTTTTCCGCCTCGGGGAGGTGTTTTGTTCCCATTTCTTTTTATTGTGAACTGTTAAGCTACATTAGGAAATACAGAAATTATATTACTGTTCTATAAATAAAGGAAGATTTATTTATAACTGCGTTGTTCATTTTTTAACATTTACCTGTGCCCCTATTAAGTTACAAAAAAAAAAGTAAGTGAAAAAGTGGCGACTCGTCAATTATAAAAATTTTGTAAATTTTTATGCAGCCGAGAACACAGTATTGTATTGTATGTTGCCTATCCAATATAAATTGAAATGAAACTGGCGCCTTCGGCAAAATATAGAAAATATTAGGAATTCATATGCAGCCAAGCATACACTAATGTTGTATTGTGTGTTGCTAACCCAACAAATTTTGAAATAAAATTGGGGACTCCAGTAAAATATAGAAAATATTAGGAATTATTATGCAGCCAAGTATACACCAATGTTGTATTGTATGTTGCCTACCCAACAAATTTTGACAAAACTGGTTACCGGCAAAATATAGAAAATTTAAGGATTTTTTTTATGTAGCAGTTTTGGGATGGTCAGGGCCGGTCTAGTTCATCTGAATTTTTTCATATTTTACTGAGTTCTAAAAATATTTGTGAAAATCGATGGATTATGTCCATAAAACTTGTCAAAAAATTAAAGTGCTCGTCTAAAGGCGCTTTTTTCTGCGTGGGTGAGATGTTTTGTTCCCCACTTCTTTTTATTGCGAACTATTCCGCTATATTAGGAAATACAGAAATTATATAACTGTTCTATAAATAATGGTAGATTTATTTATAATTGTGTTCATTTTTAATGCATTTATCCATAATCTGTAATAAAATTTTAGGAATTCTTATGCAACCAAGTATACACTAGTGTTGTAATGTATGTTGCCTACACAACAAATTTTGAAATAAAACTGGCGACTCCGGCAAAATATAGAAAATGTAAGAAATTTTTATGTAGCCATGTATACTTCAGTATTGTATTGCTTGTTACCTATCGAACAAAATCTTAAATGGTATTGCATGGAACAAACTCGAAAATACTGGAGAAGCTAGAGAGGAAATGAATGTGGTTTTGGATTGGACAGGACCGTTACAATTCAATGAAATGTTTTTCAGATTTTTTTGGGTCCTAAAACATTTTGATACAATCGATGAACTATACAGTATGTCCACGGTTAGTGTGACAAAAAGGGAAAATATTTTAATTTTCATTTTACGAGAAAAAGGCATTCTTGATTAAAACTTTTGCTTGTCTTTGAAATGCGGTTGGCATGGAGAACTTTCATCTCGCATGCACAGGGTGATCAGAAAATCGGTAAATATAAAAATCATTCAAGAATAAACCACCTTTGTTTTTAACAATACAGAAATGTGTTATTATTAAGGAGAATTGTTTAGAATTGAAATTTATATTATAATTTGAATTTGTGTATGAATCGGCCTACTTTGATAGAAACGGACAGTAAAAAAATTGTATTCACTTTACGATAAAAAGACATTCTTGATTAAAATTTTTACTTGTCTTTAGAAACACTGTGAAGATATTATAAAGACAAGCAATTATTTTAATCAAGAATACCTTTTTATCGTAAAATGAATAAAAAATTTTTGCTGTCCGTTTCTATCAAAGTAGGCTGATTCATACACAAATTGTATTTATAATATAAATTTTTATTCTAAGCAACTTTTCTTAATAACATATTTCTATATTGTTAAAAATAATGGCAGTTTATTCTTTAACGATTTTTATATTTACCGATTTTCTGATCACTCTGTACATCAAGATGAAAGTTCTCTGTACCAACCGCATTTTAAAGACAAGCAAAAATTTTAATCAAGAATGCCTGTTTCTCGTAAATTGAAAAATAAAAATATTTTCCCTCTTTTCCACTCTAACCGCGTATATCGTCCATGAAAATTTTCAAAAAATTAAAGTACCTTTCTAGAAGCCGTTCGTATGCATCTGGGGTCGCTACACACGCTTTGATAGTCGGTTTGTGTGTTAAGAAGAAAAATCTTTATTAGTTTAATGCTCATCTAATATGTACACATTTGTTGGGAAAGTATGTGGCGCCATCTATACAGTAACAGCTCAATTAATTCACCAGAGAATGTAGGGCTGTTACAGTTGGCTATCTGCTAAAGAATTCTTCCGCGTTTTAGTGCAGTTTCTGAGCGACAGATGGCGGTATGAAAATATAGAACTTTCTAGTGCATCTTGATTGGTCAATCGACACAAGTGAGCGTTCCTCCGCATTGAACTAATAATTGATTGAGACAATGTGTTTTTAAGGGCATAAAAAATTAAAATGTCTTTCTAGAGGCGGTTCCACATGAATCTGGGATCGCTATGCACGTTGTAATGGTCGGTTTTTGTACAAGTGCTTCATTAAGGAAAAAAAAAACTAAAATCTCGGTAACTGGCAGAGCTAGAGAAGAACTGAATGCGGTTTTGGATTGGTCAGGGCCGGTCTAGTTCATCTGAATTTTTTCATATTTTTCTTCTAAAAATATTTGTGAAAATCGGGGGAATATGCCCATAAAAACGGTCAAAAAATGGTCAAAAGGCGCTTTTGTCTCAACTTTGAGAGTATATTGTTGGAGAATGAAAAGTTGCTTTTTTAACGTGATTGTATTGGCTGTATCGAGGAAAAACCGACTTTTTTCTGCGTAAGTGAGTTGTTTTGTTCCCATGTCTTTTTATTGTGAATTGTTAAGCTACATTAGAAAATACAGAAATTATATTACTTTCTATACACAATGGAAGATTTATTTATAATTGTGTTGTTCATATTCAATGTGTTTATTCACAATCTGTAATATGATAAAATTTTAGGAATTCTTATGTAACCAAGTCTACACAACTATTGTATTGTATGTTGCCAACCGATCAGAAACTTGAACCAAAATATTTAGACAAAATCATAAACTCTAGGTGTGGAAATAAAAAAATAAACCAATTTAAGTTGACATCGCAAAAATATTCTGACTAAAATAATACCTTCCTAATTTAAAGAAAAAAAAATTCGATTTAACTAAATTATTTTCTATTGTAGTTTCGCTCTCTAACAATTGATATAAATAGGTAACAACTGGCACCACTGCCAACTTCCTACGCTGTATACAAGAATTTAAGTACAGTTAAAAAATGAAAAATATTGTTTAATAACAAGACAAGAATTTCCGAATAATAATCAGGGGAACAAGTACCATTATCCTTAAAAAACTTGACCCCTAATTAAAATGTTTCACCCTGTATATCAGTTTAATATATTTCCAGAAGCTGAAGACAAAAAATAAACATTGTCTAGCTGTTCCTTTTATGATGTAGTATTGTACAGTAATATCGCATCGTTTATTGTGAACAAAATGTGATGTTCATCACATCACATCCACATTTCACGCATGAACAATGTGTAACGGCTAAATCATTAAAAGGAATTAACGATTGCATAGAATTCCTTGATCTGGGAATTAAAATCGTTTTCGCGAAAACTTTATTTTCGTCTCTTTAATAGTAGGTACCTGCAAACTAGTGTGTAATCGTTAAGCACACACCACCTGATACATCTAATTTATAAAGGATTAAGTACGCGTATATAATAGTATATTATTCAACGAGCGTATAATGATGGGTATTATTCACGAGGTGAAGTTTACGGCCACGAGCCGCAGGCGAGTAGCCTAAATCACCGAATGAATAATACCCATTATACGGGAGTAGAATACTATACTTTATCCACGACTACTAAATATTTTTGTTGAAGTTTTTTTTGTTCGAAAAACATGGTATGTTAAGAAACAGATATACGACTCGCACAAATGAAGTCGCTGATGGCTCAGTGTAGATGCTCTTTCCCTTCCAACCGCGGGTACAGGGTTCGAATCCGGTCTAGGAAAATTCACTTTTTTAATTTTTTTTTATATGTACAGCACTGAATTGAAAATATTTAGTGGTTTACACGATAAAATTTTAAAAACGGATTGTTTGTAGCAGAACAATATAATATTATAGCTAAATTAAGGAAGCATCTGACAGTAGTGATTAATGACTCATTAATCACTGCCGTGATTAATGGGTATTATTAAGGTCTAGCAAACAGACGTATAATGGGTACATTATACAATAGTCGTGGATAAAAATTATTTAAGGGAACTATGTGGAAGATACATAAAAATGTATTCACGAAAATCACCACGCAAGGAATTCAGTAAATATGGTGATTACGGATTCTTATCCCGTTGTATATCTTCCCCCGAAGCGAAGATTAAGATGATATTAAGTTTATGGTTGTTTTGTTTGTTAGTTTAATAAATCACGTTTAAGTTTTGACACATATGACACCTCTGCAATAGAATCCCGAAAAAATGCATCGAATTATCTGTAATTCTTACCATCAAATTTATTATGTTCTAATAGTGGCCGAAAAATAGTGTCAGTTTAATTGCTGAAGCTTCTAAAATTGCATTCCCGTCAATATCCTGTCATATATACAGAGTGATTCAAAACTTATTAAAAAAAAAATTGATTGCACAGGGGACTTTTACAAATACAATTTTGTAAAAAAAATCAAAAGGGCAGTTCGAAATGATTTAAAAATACATCTGCACGGCACTGAAAACTGGTCCACTGTAAAACCTGAGAAAAATAAATAACAAACGGGCAAAAAATTTAAAGAATTTCTTTTCCAGGGAAAGAAATAACTAAAAATTTATAACACCTGTTTTAATATCAGCAAATTTAGACACGTAAATGGACTAAAAAAATTGCAGGAGAACGCAGTAGAAAAGGTGTCTCATCTCGTGAGTCGATTCTTTTCATTAGCAACATTGTTTTTTTTTAAACAATTTTGGTCGAAAATCAGTTTATTAAATATATTGGAATAATTACTGATTTTAGAGAAAAGTGTTCAACAGTCGAAATATGCGCAATGAAAAAGCAATAATTAATAAAATAATTTGATATAGGTACCTGATGCTACAGCAACTGTTCAAAATTTTTGGGCCCGTCTTACCCAGTTTCTACGAACACCATAAATAAAAACGATATCCATCATCTCCAAGTTGCTATAGACGTAAGCCATTGTTGACGCTTGAAAAAACTAATGTAAACACTATCGTCAATACTAAAATCGGATTTCAGTATCCGGAATCGCCTGGAACCACGTGAAAGAGAGCGCATTGCGCACAGCGCACAATGCAAATGACGCTAAGCAGCCCAGTGATGTAAAGATTGAAAATAATACAACCGCAATATTTTTTTTTTTCGGAAACTATAAGGATTTAAAAAAAAAATATTACGATATACTCCATTTATCATGACGTATCTATTCCCAAATTTTTTTTGATAAATTATGAATCACCCTGTATTTGATTATTGTCTACATCGGAGAAGATAGGTTTCCTTTATGTAAATCTAAGAGAAACAGATCAAAACAGAAGTGCGAACTCTACAGAGCTGATTTCGTTTGTTCTTAAAGAGGGAAGCTCAAAAGTACGTATTACAAAAATATTCGTAGAATTTGAACTACGTTATAATTCCAAAACTGACGTATAAAATTACTAGCATTCCGCAGGATCTTATGTAGGTGCTGTTTAATCATTTTTATATATCTTGAAGATATCACAAGCATACATATAATCAGGAAATTAGAGATTATGGAAAACGAAAAAGCTTTTAGTCATTGTAAAATTAATTTTTCTGTTTACTTCGTAGTAATTTAAATCCATAACTAATTTTTTATTTATTGATTTTATTGTAGATTTATTTATTGATTTAGTGTCGTATCCTCTTTATTGAAGAAATTTTTAGATAATTAAATTTTAATACTATATTTACAATCAAAGTAAATTCCTTAGGTGCGTTTCCAAAACAACTTCTGTAGGATAAAAACTACTTTTTCTGTACGAAAAAATATTAATTTTTAGAAAACTTCTGCGGATTCAAAAATTTTCTGCTTAATTTTTATATATCCGTTTGAAATTTGTTGTCAGTTCATCACGACAGATAGAATAGATTCCAAAGATCTTTGAAACCAGCTAGTACATGAAATCGTTCTTACCTATAACCTTTACCTACATACTTGTATTCCAAGCAATTTTTCCAAAAATTTAAAATCCAAAGATTTAGGGAGATTGGAAATTCTAGAATGAGACGGTATTTCCCCTGTAACTAAATTGGTGCAATATATCTCACAGCCACTCCACTGTAGTGTTCTTTGCCTGTGGACACCACATCTAAGAAATTATTCAACCAGACTTAAAGTGGCACATTAACAGTTACCTGCATTTTAAATATCTGGTTTCACATCATCTACATATATTGTGCGACAATCTGCAGATATTAATCAACATTTAACTTTTCATTGAAATTCATTTTCCTCAAGGATTTGCGTCAGTGGTATTTGCTCTAAAGTAGTCGCATATGTCTCTCTCTCGCTCCAGAGAAAGAGTAATAAATGTGGCATTGGGTGATTAGATATCACTGGGTTGTAAATAATAATGTGGATATAATCATGTGGGATTCGGGAAAGGTATATAAGGAACATAATTGATGCTAATTGACCAAATTGTACCAGCATGCTGAAATCCGTCGTAGTGGTTGTAGCACTGGTTAGCGTCGTTTGGGGTGAGTACTTTCACAAAATTTTAACAAATATCACGAATTTTATCGTGGTACAATATTTATTTTTATTTTATTTTTTTTAAGTCCCTTGAATAATGTACCTACATTTTTTGTTTTGTTTTTGTGAAAGGACAATGAATAATTTGGGACAGTGGTGTTATAAAAAAATAAACCTAAATTTTGATGTTGAACTTTAATTCCGTTCTAGTAGAAACCGTTATTTTTTTTCTCAAGATTCAATATTTGTTTCATTATTGTAGACAGTTCAATCACTGTAAGTTATGATTCTTTCTAGAAATATTCAGGCGAAGACTTTTATTTTATTTTTGGGGGATTAAACTATTTCAAATAAATTATATAAATTTTTTCTTAACTTCGCACTAAATTACGTCACTATGCTCCGCCATATATCCAGATATGCAAAAAAGGAACTTCTTTTTGACAAACTGTCAAAACTGTTTAAAAGAAAAACGTCTTTCCTAGTTCTGAAAACAAAAACAACAGATTGATAAACTAATAGAAGTGAGTATTTCGAATTTTTTCTTTATGTGCTTATTACAATTCTAGTTTAAGTAAAAATAGTTCATAAAAATACCCCTTCACTGAACCTTTTGCAGCAAAGGTTTATTCGACAGTTTTATTTATTTTTTTGGGAGGTAATTAATTATATTGCACAAAAAATTCAAAAGAAAGGCTTTTGTTGGAATTTCTTTAGTTAAAAAACAGAAGTGCGTGGCACCCTTTATTAGTGGTTCGTGTGTAGACAAACAGATGGCGCGAGGTGTGCATAAGTGCATAGAAATTGGAAAGGGAGAACGAACACGAAAAAGGGAGTGCATTGCGGTCATAGAAAACTTAATATTAACCATTATTATTAATTAATTTACCACCAATTAATTTTTAATTTTTGGAAAAATATATATGTATATTTATAAAATATTCCATCGCTGTAGATTAGCCAGCACAATTACCTACAATTAAAAAAAAATAATTTTCATCGTTTAGATCCTCATTTTGCGCCTGTTAGCCATACTCGTACATTATTCAACATATCAACATGAAACAAAATTGTACGTGTGGGGTAAACCTTTAACTTTAAGTAAACAATTGTTAATTTACTTTTGCATATTTCTAATAGTATACAAGGAGCTCGCGCTCGAAAATGAAAAGTTAAAGGTTAAAGGTTTACCCCACATATACGATTTTGTTTTATGTTGATATGTTGAATAATGTACAACTACGGCTAACAGGCGCAAAATGTTAAGTAGCTTAGGATCTAAACGATGAAAATTATTATTTTTTTAATTGTAGGTAATTGTGCTGGTTAATCTACCGTGATGGAATATTTTATAAATATACATATATATTTTTCCAAAAATTAAAAAACGGTGACGTATAAAACCTTACCAAACCTGCAAAAATGAAGATAATTCAATTTTGCAAATTGCTTTTGGTTTCTGCATATTTACACTATGCGTATACCAAATTTCAAGTGTCAGCAAAACTTCAAACAAATTTGGCAAAGTTTCGAGTTTCAGATGCCGCTGGATGTATAAAGCCTTATAGAACAAAAAGTTTTGCTCTCCTGATTTTCGGCTTTAGCGTCATTATTGTATATATACTGAACTATAGTTTTCGAAAGTTTTATAACTTTTTGTTTATAATTGACATTTTTACAGCAACTTTAAAAAATTGACGTTTTATACCGTTTTTTCCAATGTCACAGCTTTGTTATTGCAAATTTCGTAATCGGACCACCGCCATTTTGTAGCTATTTTTATTACGAACAAAATCATGTCCTAGGCATTTTTTCGTACAAAGTCATCCCGCTGAGTTATTTAAAGAAAACTACTAAAAAAAAAAATTTTTTTCCCGATTAAATTGTTAATAACTTTTTTCCTGATAAAATACTTTGTCAGCAAATTAGCCTGTTATTGTACTCATCATTTGAAGTATTCCTGTGTAGTTATTTACGAGTTATCAAGAAAATGTCACCAACAGTACCTTTTCGGTCTCTGCCGACTGGACTAGTATAATTTTGAACAATAACACACCCATACAAAAAAAAATCCTGACCCATAAACTAAAACTACCATATTTTATATATTTTGATCTCCTGAATTGTATACCGTAAACTAAATTTCATTTTATCGTGAAATTTTTTTTAATTTTCGATTTTATACCAAAAATAGACATTTTCCGGCTAAAACGAGCACCAGATGTCGGCAAAACTAAAAATCAATGAAATTTTTATTCAGACATGTGTTTTTTCATGTGTTTTGGAGCGCTGAATACGAATGTGACGTCAAAAATATTCGCACCGCGACGGAAAGAAAATTGAGTACAAACAAATTTGACTTGAACCAAAAAAAAACAAAATGTACGAAAAATACTAAATTAACTAAAGATAGTAACAGAATATTTCCTACATTTGTTTCTTCTTCTTCCTTCCTGTCTCTTGATCGTTATTCCTTTCCAGGCGCTCCTCAGTCCGACTCACTAGATTTGGACGTGGACACCAGAATCGTCGGTGGAGAAGCTACGAGCATCGAAAACCACCCTTACATGGTCTCTGTCCAACGAAACGACCGACACCACTGCGGCGGTTCCATCATAGCCTCAACCTGGGTCGTCTCTGCAGCCCATTGCTTCCTCCGCGAGGTTGAGGCCTATTCGATCCGCGCTGGTTCCTCCTGGCGCAATGAGGGGGGCCAAGTCATCCCTGCGCGTAAGATTATCCTCCATGAACTCTACTTAAGACAAACCCTCGACTACGACATCGCTCTAGTACAGTTGGTCAAACCCATCACCATCCGCGGGGCTCGCGCCATCACCTTGCCGCCTCCAGACAATAACCCTCCAATACCTGGATCCATGGGCGTCGTCACCGGTTGGGGCCTTCTCTGGTCGGGTGGACCGCTGGCTGACAGGCTCAAGATCGTCAGTGTGCCTGTTGTGACCATGGAAATCTGCAGGAGCCGGTACGGGCAAACCGTCATAACCGAGAGGAAGTTTTGCGCTGGGTACTGGCTAGTAGGAGGCAAAGACTCCTGTACCAGTGATTCCGGAGGACCGTTGGTCATCGATGGGGTCCTTACTGGTATTGTTTCTTGGGGTCCGGCAACTTGCGCACTACCTGACGGGCCTGGGGTATACGCCAGCGTGCCCAGCCTCAGGAATTGGATTAAGAGGAATAGTGGTATTTAAATTAACTGTACATTTGAGTAGATTACATTAGGAATAAATATTGAATCATCTTGATTTCACTTATTTCCTCTTCTAGTTCAAATTTGTTAATGGGAAAGCTGCAATAGGAAATTATTTAAATCTTCGTATACACAAAATAATTTCAATTTGTCGCAAAATACGGATATGCAATTAATTTATTTGTGGGTACACATGCCGCAAGTGACCCATTTTTAAGTATTACGTCAAGAGCGCCAGCAGGACGCCGCCGGACGCATCAGCGTTCCAGGAAGGGTCTACGGCGGACTGGCGCCGGCGACCAGATGCGTACTCATATACCTACGACCGACTCCACACACAGGGACTCTCCAACGAACACTCATCCCGTCAACACGTCTTTTTCAACACAACTTAGTTTTCAATAAAATACTTTATTATTACCATTGAGAGAGCGTTTTATTTTTGCTGTACAGCGAAAGCAACCCTCATATTCATTGGTTCTAGATTATTTTTTATTTAATTGAATGTTTTGCCACATTCAAAATGAAAATAAGGATCCCTTTTCCCGTGATTATTGGTGAAATAGAGAGAGAAAAATTCTCTAAATAGATAGTTATAAGTTAGAAGATAAAGGGGAAAAATAATAACTAAAGTCGATTTTCTCAAGTCATCCATAACTTCTTTCAAAGATGACTGTAGATATAGATAGACTCCTCCACATCTACAGAGAAATCCACTAAATGTAACATTGCTCTCATATTCTTCAAAACCTGTAGGGTTAAGGATAGATTTTGTCTTCGTATGCTTAGCTCGTGGTAATTGGTAAATGAATGGAACAAGCTCACATCACTCGCTCGCTTTTCTTCTATGCGGTTTGTAACTTTAATCCCGCGAAAGAAGAAAGTAGCAAAGTAGCTAGTTTTCAGGTCGTTGGGATGATTTTCTGGTGTTCTGCCTGAACTTACAGATTACACGAGTTGATCGAGTACCAAAATATGAGATGAGTGCTACGAATATGCTGCAATGACTCATTTCTAGACTAATACTCAAAAAAAGTACTGAATGCAGTAATTTGACTGCTTGTTGCGGTAATTTTTTGACAATTTAAGTATTTAAACATATTTGGTTTTTGGTGATCCAAATACATGGGTGTCATCTGTGGACCAGATCAATTTTTCGTGTGACTGTGTTATTAGAAACTCGAATTCTCTTATGAAGTGGGAGATATGTAGAGATAAAATCTCAATTGGATAAGCTTGTAGGTATTTAATTTTTCAACACTGGCCCATGCAAATCTGATAATTTAAAAGAATGTGTAAATATCAGAAAACTAATTAGGTATACTCTAGTTGATTAGATAACACAGTACTGACAACTTAATCTTCAATTTCCTTCATGAAATGTATAAAAGGTGGTCCTATTGAATTTTCTTAATCTGCTGGATTCTATCAACATGTTCAGATTCATCTTCTTGGTTACGCTGCTAGCAAACTCGATTTGGGGTAAGTTACTAAATTGTTAACACTATTTACTCTACTTTTGGTTTTTTTATATCAATTTAATACAAATTAATTCTAAATTTGAGACAATTTAGACCTCAGAAAATTCACTCATACCGTTAGTTATAATACTGATTACTTTGAACAATGACCAATACGGAGTTATAGCTACGATGCATCAATTCATGTACCTACTTCTGCAATTTTTTATCTCCTTTAAAGCCATACAATTTATTTCTTTAACCTGCAATTTTCTCATTAGGCGCACCCCAGTCCGCGCGAAACGGTACAGACCTAGATGGCAGAATTGTTGGTGGAACCGACACCACCATCGAGGCTCATCCGTACATCGTATCCCTCCTGGAATTTAATTCGCACATTTGCGGTGGATCTATCATATCCTCCACCTGGATCCTTACCGCGGCCCACTGCATAGAAGAACCAGTTTCTGCCTATTCCATCCGAGCAGGATCAACCGTCCGTAACTCCGGAGGGCAAGTGATCGCTGCCAGCAGGATTATTCTCCACCAAAGCTTCAGTTGGAACACTCTAGACTACGACGTTGCTGTCATCCAACTTGCCAGCCCCATCACCATCGCGGTAGCTCGTGCTATCACCATGGCAGCGGAAGGTGGTCCACCAGCAGCCGGATTGACCGCCACTATCACCGGATGGGGACTTCTCACGGAACAAGGACCTTTGGCCACTGTCTTGCAAGTCGTCCAGGTGCCCATCATCAGCCAGGCCAACTGCCGTGCTGCTTATGGTCAGAATTCGGTAACTGACAGGATGTTCTGTGCTGCGGTGTTGGGAGTCGGGGGAAGAGACGCCTGCCAGGCCGATTCCGGTGGACCGCTGATTGCCAACGGAGTTCTTACTGGTGTCGTCTCCTGGGGTGTTGGTTGTGCTCGACCCAACTCCCCTGGAGTATACGCCAGCGTGCCCAATCTTAGAGCTTGGATAAGAACCAATAGTGGTGTATGAGATACTCTGAATCTGATTTTATTTTTAATAAAATGTATTTAAAATTAAATAGTAGTTTTTTTCTGTTTGGCTATCCCGCCACATCAAAAAAATACACGATCAGGGTTTTCACGAAAAACATGCCGGCGTAACTCTTCGGATTTTTTTTAAGGGATGTTCAAAGATTATTTAAGAATTTTGGCAATATTAAAAATTGTAATTTTTAATATGGTTTACTGACGTTGAAAATGGTTAAAATCGCGTTTTTTCGAACAAAAAATCGTTAATATCTCGAAAACGGTAGATTTTAGAGAAAAGTTGCATAGGAACATTTGTGTTCAGGATACTCCGAAAAGCCTAAAAAATTTCGAGCGAAGAAAATGAAAATTGAGAATTTGTTTAAAAAAAATTGTTTAAACAATTTTTGACCATTAGTAAAGTCTGGCAACATGCGGATATGTTTCAAGGGTCATTTTATTAGTAAGATTATGAAAAAAATCAGTCGTTGACGTCATCTTCGTTAATTTCAATGGAACACCCTGTATATTATTACAATTTTGGATTCTACGTCAATTTTTAGGTGAACTTTCATAAAGGTTTCCTATTCTTAAAGTTAACAGTTTTTGTTATATTTAATTTATATCAAAAAAAAATTAAAAAAGCACTGCCTAATTCAAAAGGATGTGTATTTTACAATAATAAAGTTAGAACGATAAAATTTATAGGGGACATAACTAAAACTCTAAGGTTCCCTGCCATAATTTCAAAATGACTTAATTTCGTACAGTGTGGTAGAAATTTAATGCCGAATTTAGTCAACTTTAAACCATCTTAACTTTTTTTTTAATGGAACACCCTGTATATTTTTGCGCAACCTGAGGAACAATTTTGTCAATACAATAATAAACCTTTCAAACTTTTTTTTGAATTATAATTTTAGCACTCTACGTTTTGGAAAATAAAAATTAACGTAAGTCGCATTATTATTCGTCCAACGAATCTGTGATTTGATCTATTTTTTTGTAAAACCTCGTATACAAAAAATTATTTATTAATACTGGTGTCACTTTATTTGTAAATTCGCATCATTGTATAAATTTGGTAATAGATATTCTTTATCATAAGAATGTTCATTAAAACGTATTTTTAATCACATACGTAAATAAATATCGAATTCAATAACGAGAAAAATTTGTAGATTACTTTACAATCACTAACCTTATCAGCGACAATCCTGGATGCATACCGTTCACGGAAACGAATTTCGACCCCACTTCTCTCCCATTGTGGACAACATTACGTGTGTTTTTTTTGGAAACTGGTTAGTGTGAGGTAATTATGTTTTCCCTTCTAGTATCTGCACAGTAATAAGACTCAAACTGTAGCTAAAAATGGGCTTTATAATTTAATTTATGAAGGTTGAATAACTCTAATCTAGGAGGGGTTGTTCAGATAAACCCTAACAAACCAATGTTTGAACCAAGATCATTTATTCTCATAATGTGAAATCCAGACTAGAGTAAACTTCGCAAGTTATGTTTTTGGATTCTTTTTCATAAAAAACACATCTCAGGTAGTGGTATAAACTAGTTGCATTAATTATTCTATGTGGATATCGATCTTAACAAATCGGGTGCAAAGGAATCGAATTTGGTCTCAATTTATCCTGGAGCAAGTAGTTTTCGTAGAAAGAAAAATTGTCATTGACGACAACATTATCTTTTGCGTTGACTTATTTCTAGAGCTGTATTCAAAAAGAAATCTACTGAATGCAGTGATCTGACTGCTCTTTGGTGTTATTTTTATAAAACTGGAGGGTGATGATTTGGTTTTTGTGGTGGTATGGGTCTCATCTGTTGCCAGCTTACTTTTTTGTGTGACTGTGTTATTTGAAAGCTCTCTTATGAAGTGGGAGATATGTAAAGATAAAATCTCAGTTGTATAAGCTTGTACTTAATGTTTCAGCACTTTGACTCGTGCAGTTTTAATAATTTAAAAATATGTGTACTATATCAGAAACTTTAGGAGTACATTAGTTGATTAGATAACACAAACTGACAATTTAATCTTAATTTTTCTTCATGAAATGTATAAAAGGTAGGCCCTATTGAATTTTGTTAATCTACTGGATTTTATCAGCATGTTCAGATTCATCTTCTTGGTCACGCTGGCGCTGCTGGAAAACTCAGCTTGGGGTAAGTTACTAAATTGTTCATACTTAGCAGTGATATAAGTTTTTTTTAGTATGGTTAGCTTTGCCATGGGTTTTAAAGATACCTTTTCAAGTATTTATTGAATGGTTTTACACTATTTACTCTACTTTTGTTTCTTTATATCAATTTAATACAAATTAATTCTAAATTTGAGACAATTTAGACTCAAAAAATTCACTCATATCGTTAATTGTATTACTGATTACTTTGAACAATGATCAATACGGAGTTATAGCTACGATACATCAATTCAATTTTTTATCTCCTTCAAAGCCATATAATTTATTTCTTTAATTTACAATTTCCTCATTAGGCGCTCCTCAGTCCGCGCGGAACGGTACAGACCTGGATGGCAGAATTGTTGGTGGAACCGACACCACCATCGAGGCTCATCCGTACATCGTATCCCTCCGGGAATATGACTCGCACGTTTGCGGTGGATCTATCATCTCCTCGACCTGGATTCTTACCGCGGCCCACTGCTTAGAAGGACCAGTTTCTATCTATTCCATCCAAGCAGGATCGACCGTCCGTAACTCCGGAGGGCAAGTGATCGCTATCAGCAGGGTTATTATCCACGAAAACTTCAGTTGGATCACTATTGACTTCGACGTCGCTCTCGTCCAACTTGCCAGCCCTATCACCATCGCAGTGGCTCGTGCTATCACTATGGCACCCGAAGGTGGTCCACCAGCAGCCGGAGTGACCGCCGTCGTCACCGGATGGGGACACATCGCAGAAGGTGGACCAGCGGCAACTGTTCTTCAGGTGGTCCAGGTCCCCATCATAAGCCAGGCCAATTGCAGGATTGCTTACGGTGAGAATTCAATAACTGACAGAATGTTCTGTGCTGCGGTTTTGGGAGTGGGAGGCAGAGACGCCTGCCAGTTCGATTCCGGTGGACCGCTGCTTGCCAACGGAGTTCTTACTGGTATCGTCTCGTGGGGTATTGGTTGCGCTCGACCCAACTTCCCTGGAGTATACGCCAGCGTGCCCAGCCTTAGAGCTTGGATTAGAACCAATAGCGGTATATGAGATATTCAGAATCTGACTTTGTTTGGAATAATATGCATTTAAAATTAAATGGTAGTTTTTTTTCTTTGTTATCCCACCTCAGCAAAAAAATTGAAAAAGAAAACAGGTAAATGAACCCTATGCAGCAATGATCAGGGTATTTAGGATTTTGAAAGAACCTAAACCAATGAGGACAAATTCTGTAAAAGTTTATGACCAAAGTGGTTTGCACAGCTTTCTTTGACAATATAGCAATCTGGACCTACGTGGATATCAAACAGAAAAGGGACAGTCTCACAGAATGTTCAAGCGTGGCACTAGAAGGAAACCAAATAACAATCCGCAAGTATTGCGAAGGTTTTGTGGCATTTGTCTATCCTTCAGAAGAGCAAGCACCGTTCTTACAGAGTTCAACATTTCTTCAATCAGAGACGTATCTGCTGAATTATTTTTCCTAACGTTTACAGATTTGAAGAATTGTTCAAATAGGTCTAAGAGTTTGGCATAAACAGCTAGAAACTCTGCTGTAGGAGCTGCCCAATCTTTTTTTAACGGGTTTTGCGTAAACAGACCACAAGCACTCGATAATGCCATTATCTGCAAAAGCAGAGATACATCAAATTAGGATAAAGATCTATACAAAGTTTCAATTAAATGTCTTTAAAAATAACAAAATTATACATAAAAAACAAACAAATCAAAACCAAGATCATTTATTCTCAAAATGTGAAAATGACAAAAATCTAGACTAGAGAAAACTTGTTAAAAAATCATAAAAGAAACACAACACATAAT